AAACATGAGGGGGTCTGAGAGATCAAAAGCACTGACTGGTATGTCGGCTGGCTTCTGCAAATCATTGTATAGACTACATACAGATTCAATCGTCCCTCCGATTGCCACTAGAAGTCAAATGCATGGGCCACCTCGGGACAAGGCCAGTCATCTTTATCCATTTCTCCACTTATTTCCCCACTGATCATTCTACCCAGTGATCTGAAAAATCTGCTCGGATCGGGCCAAAATCTTCATAAACTTGATGGCATGGCAAGGGCCGCTCTGAAAGGGCTGAAAAGATCCAGGTGCTCAAGTCTGAGACCCTATAGGTGAATATGGATGTTAGTAAGGAGGAAAAGAAAGTAACTCAGAGGGAAGGTGGTACCATGACCTTACACAGCCGGTTGACTTTACACAATACGCGTGCCGATTCAAAATAACCAGCGTATGCTTTCACAAAAGCTTTTAAAAGAAGTTCAGATGATTCCCACCGTGCGACGGCACCTTGAAAGGAATCCCTATCGATGGCGTTTCAATACCCTTAGATTGTATCGGACGAACAATACTGCTTGATTTCCGCTTCAAAACAGTAACCTGGATCCCGTATTGAAGGGTATGGTCGAAGGGCAAAGTCTTTGACATAGAATGCTCTATCAAGAATAAGCCATGTGGTCGACTTCTTTCCAAAACTCTTAAATCATTAAAACGACTTTAGGTCTGAGTGGTCAACTTAGATACAAGTAATTTTAGGTGACTCAATTACTTAAGAATGAATAGTAGGAAGATTAAGTATGTTTGGGTGATATTTATTTTATTTATTATGCATTCAATGTGCGCCATCAGGAAAACATTATAGTAAAACATTACATAGCTAGAAAAATAAACAGAAAAACCACTACCATACTAGATGTCATATTTGCATATACATAGCATTGAAATGAAATGAAATAAAACATTGTTTGCATCCATTGATGCCATTGGTGGTTCCGACCCCTCGGTGGGCAGAAAAAATGCTCAGCTACTCACTATTCCAATCGATTTAACTACTTTCTTTTCCGTAATGATTCTGATGGTCTTCTGATGGTGATGAACTTCTGTAAGGTCCAGTGACTGATTGCCTGAGTTTTTTTTTTT